CAGGAGGATTATCATGCGTTCTAGGCTAGCCTGGGATATATAATCAGTTCAAGGCCAGCCTGAACTACATAGCAAGACCTTTCCTCAAAAAATCCAAGGGGAAAAAAGTATTTGGATTTGTTTGTTTTTTGTGTTTAAGTGGATTGTTTGTAAATTTGAAATTATTTCCAAATAGATTTCATTGTTGTTGTCCTTCTTCAAGAAACTAAGTTGGTGTGAACCTGTGTCTAGCAAATATTTCCGGGCAAAGGAAGAACTTTTATGTTGAATTTTGCATTGCAATTTAGTTCATACTCAACTCATAGTGATCCTCCCATCTTGGCTTCCCCAGCGCTGGAATTACAGGTCTGTGCCAACGTGCTGAGCTTTCGTGGCTGGCTCAGCGAGTGGCTGGCACGGCAGCGGTACTGGGAATCTAACCCGGGTCCCGCCAGGCAGGCTCTTAGACCACCAAGCTATCTCTCCTGCTCCTGCAATTTAGTTCACACACAAGAACTTAGACGTTCACGTTTTGAGAAAGGTTCAGTACCATCTTCGGTGAATATTGATATTTTACTGAATTATTTTTTAATAGTTATGATGGAAATCATTTGTGCTTTCAAAATTTCTCCTTAAAAAGGCCCCAGCGTGATAGTAAGACAAGGTTACACTGCGCGGCTTAGGGTTTTCCTACTAGTGGACAAAGTTTTGGACTACACTTCCCAAAATACCTTGGAATGGGCCTGGGTGGGGAGGAGGGCTTTGAGCTTTAATTGGACACTGGGAAGCCAGACCTTCCCATCAAGGGAGTGGTCCTTAGGCTTGTTGGGAAATGTAGGAGAGCCTTACGTGGACAGACGTGCAGGGTTTGGGAAAAGACCTGCATGAGATGCCCAATCAACTGCTGGGAAATGAGTGTCCGCGCTATGTCTCCTGGGACTTGTAGTCCCCTGAGACCTTGTGGTCCACCTTAGGTTCTGTGTGGGTAGGGAATAAGGCCTTGCGCACTTGTTGCACTACTAAACTGGGATTCCTTAGGTCATCAATCTCGATCAGCTGCAGTGGCCTCCTACAATGCCTGGTTCTGGCAAGCCTTGCAAAGCGCAGGCCCTCGATGGAGACTCAGGGACGTGAAGCCTGGAGGGGCTTTCTGACAGAGGGGGCAGGTTTTCCACTTGCTGACTTGAGTCAGGAACCAGCCGTGAATCCTGTGTATCCCACGCTGCCCTTATACATAACCATGCACTCCTTGCCTAGGCCCACTTTTGAGCCCACAGCTCGGCTCCTGGTCTGGTGCTGAGCGCTTGCCCTGTCAAGGAGGCCCAGTGAGGGCCTAGCTGGGTGAGGCCAGGGAACCAAGGAGCAGAGATCTGCCCGTGTCAGGGTCACCAACACGGTCTCATTCAGGAAATCTTCATTCAGTGGGCCCCATGTTACAGGTGGTGCTGGGGACACAGATGGTCATCCCAGCCCTGCCCACCCACCCAGTCCCCAAGCATGCCCAGTCTGGCTGATCGGGGCTGGGTCAGGAGACAGGGAAGTACCAAAGGCGACCCTCAACCCACCAGGGTGAAAAAAAAGTCAAGTCTTTGAATTGGGTATTCACCCTGCAGAGAAGGGGGGAGATGAAGGCCCCTGCATGTGTGAAGACCTGGAGAGAACAGTAATGGCGAGGGTCAGGTCTGGGTACTGCAAAGACCTCTACCATGGGAGAGGGAGGCTTGAAACAGGGTCTCATTGTATATTTCAGGCTAGCCTTGAACTATGTAGTCCAGATTCGCCTTGAACTCGTGGCACTCCTAGGTGCTGGGATTACTGGCATGTGCCACCAGGCCTGGCTTCCCTACCACTCTAGGAGGTGGACATTATTATTCCCACTGTACAGATTTGGACACTTAGGGCCCAGCGAGGTTAAGCCCACTAAAGTTTGCGCAGCAGGCCTGTGGCTGAGGTAGGATTAGAACCTGGGCTCCCCTTGCTCCAAAATGCAGCAGGTAACCATTGCGCAGCCTCGGCTACACATTTTCTGGGATGGATGCAGCGCGAGGGATGGGATCACCACCATCGTGTCAGTACTCATCTGGGCTGGCCTGATGTCTGTGTCCTTGTGATCCCGGCCACGCCCCCATACCCATTCTGCACTTCCTGTATGGTTAAACAGCTGAAAAATGACTGTGTAAGGAGCAAGTTGTCTGTTCTGGAGATGAAGGGTGTGGCTAGCTCTATGGCTGAAGGAGGGACGGGGTAAGAACAATCGGGGTCACCCCATTCCTGGACTCCAGGATCACTTCAGGCTCAGGGCTGTGATGCCAGCGTTGGCAGAGGCACTGGGAAGAGCCCCTTCCCTAACGTCCTGCCAGAAACGCCGAGGCCCAGGCTGGCAACCCCTGGATATCTTTGCTGCCCCCAAGAATACAAGTGTGAAAAATGGTGAGGAAACGTGGGAGCTGGAGGGTTACATTCAGGCACTTAACAAATGTTCGTTTCCCCGGCTTCCCTCGAGCATTCCTAGAGCCCTATAAAGAAGGGCGATTGTGCCCATGTTTCCTCACATGAGGAATCTGAGGCTAGGAGAAGGAAAAGAACAGATTCGTGATTTCACAGGCAGGAAACAGGAGAAGGAACATTTCGAGCCTGAGCTTCCTGACTGGGAAAGCCCCTCATTTGTGTCGGAACACTCTGGGGTTTGGGAGTGGAAAATACAGTGTGTCTTCTCTCCCAACAGAGCCTGACAGGTCCGTACTATCTAGGAAAACAAGTTTGTGGCAAATAACATGAAGCAATGGGCTCCTTCCTGCAATACTCGCCAGAGGTTTTCGGTGATTGACACGACCTGGGTCACCAGGGCAGCCAGAGAGAGCGCGAGAGTGGAGACAACTGCGGCGCACGCCCGCGCGTGTTCGGGACACGGCCCGTAACAGCGAGTGCATGTGTCCTCCATCCTTTTAATTCTTGGGCTCAAATATTAACGGTAAAAAAACAAGACTGGCCAGGTACTGGCCCTTTCCACCCACCCGCACCCCGTCCCGCCTAGATAAAGGCTGGAAGTGTCCCCACTACCCCTCAGGTCAGATTCCACAAGGCTTTATTGTTGCCTGACCTAGCTGGTGTTCAATCTTCCAGGAAAGGTGGGAGGATGGAAGGGGTCCTGGTCCCGCCAGAGCCCTGCCGAGCCCCAGCCAGCTGAGATGGGGTGCTCTCAAAGGTGCATGCAGCAAAGACCCCCGCTAGAAGGGGAACTCGCAGACGTAGTAGAGGCGCCGCTCGCAGTCGTGGTCCCACCAGGAGCCGTCGTCCGAGGCCTGCGCCACGCAGTTCTCCAGCACGCCGCCGTTGGGCTGGTTGGGGCTGAGCGGGTGCGGTGCAGAGCTAGGGCGAGCGCCCGGCTCGGGGCTGGGCGCGCGGTGCCAGGCGAAGAAGGACACGCGCTGGCCGTTCTCGAAGAGGTAGAGCCCTTCTGCGCGCCGGTCGTGCACGCCCAGCCACACAGGCCAGTTGTAGGGAGCGAGCGCCGCGCGCAGGTAGCGGCTGAGCGCTTCCATCTGCCGCTGATCCGCCGGCTGAGCCAAGCTCCCGCCTCGCGCAGCGCACCGCGCCTGCGCTGCCGCCTGGGCCTCGAAATCGCGCGAGAGCAAGAAGCACTTGTGGCCCAGACGCAGCCCCTTCAGGCAGCCTGCGGGAGGGAAGGGAGGACGCGGAGGGGGCGGGGTCAAAGACGTCAGGGGCGGGGTAAAGGGCGGGACCAGAGTCTCAGCGGGAGGGCTAGAAAGCGGCAGGGTCCGGGAGGCGGTCAGTAATAGGGCGGGGCCAGACCGTGGGGCGGGGCCAGACTGTGGGCGGAGCCGTGGAGGCGTGGCGCCGCCGGAGTCGGTTCAGTTAGGCTACACCGTGGGGGTGTCTAGCCACCGCCCATCCCAGTTACAACAACCTCTCGGCTTCCTACACCGCCGCCATCCTGCTCTCGCCCCTGACACTCTTGCCCAGGGTCCCCATTTCTTCCCAGTCCCCCACGTGGCCCGGCAGCGTGTACTCACCCTCCAGGCGGCCGTGCTGGCGCTCAGCGCGGACCTGCGCCTCCTGCAGGGCTTCCACGGTGTCGCGGGTGTCGCGCGCCACCTCCTGCTGCTGCCGCAGCCCTTGGGTCAGCTGGACCACGCGGGTGTCCAACGCGTGCAGACGGACGTGCAACTGATGCAGGCCTGCGTCCAGGCCGGCAAGGCGGCCCACTGAGGGCGACCGACGGACAGACAGGGAGAGCGCTGCAGGGGGACCTTGGGGGCGCAGCACCCACCGCCCAGAGCCTTGGAGGAAAGGGGGATCTGGGGCTCCAGAGGGTGAAATTGGTGGGAGGGCCCGGAACTTGTGGAAGAAAGGGTCCAGTGGCCTGAATTCCTGGGATACAGGTCAGGGACGGGGAGTCCTGGGGCTATGGGGGCTGTGGACTGGGCAATGAGCCCCCGGCTGCAGGCTACTCACAGATATAAGTGATGGTGTCCTCGGGGGTGGGAGAGGGGCTGGGGCTGGGGCTGGGTGAGGCAGTTGGCATTGCTTCCTCCTCCTTTTCTTCTCCCTGGGTCTCCTCGGCCTCCCAGGCCTCTTTGTCTTCAGAAGTTCGGGCAGGATTCTCGCTCCCCTTGGCAGCCGGCAATCCCAGGACCTCCTGCAAATGCTGCCACAGGGAGAGGGATGGTGAGCCCTCCTCTCCAATTCGAAGCTCACATTCTGCAGCCCAAATCCTTTCTCTAAATATTCACCCCTGTCCTCTGAGCCAGTCCCCATTACTCTCCCAACCCATTTCCCTAAAACTGAAATGTCCAGTCCATGGCTCACCTTCAGCATCAGGGCCTCCCTCTCCTGCTCCTCCTCCAGGGCACCACCCCAGCCCCCCTCCCACTGCTCCTCTGTTCCCCGAGCCCCGTGGCCAAAGCCCAAGAGCTGGGGAACCACTAGGGCCCCCAAAAGCCAAGCTGCCTGCATCAGGCTGTGATCTCAGCTACCAGAGGTCAAAGATATCAGAATGTCTGGGGAGGGGCTGGAGTCTCGGGCCTGGTCCCTGCCTCTCTCTTCTGCAGCACCCCTCCCCGCGCTGCAGCCTCCCTCTCTCCCTCTCTCGTCCGATCTCCTCCTACGGCCCTGTGTGTGTGTCTCCCCGCCCCTCTTGGCTCCCTGGAGGCCTTGCCTCTGTGGCCGGAAACCTCCAACGTTCCAAAGCCTGGATCCTGTCTTGGGTCTCCCCACACCCCCTCTTCCTACTTTCCAGTGTGCTTCTGCCCTGTTCTTTCCTTCTGCTCCGCCAAGAGCTCAGATGGTCAGGAAGAAGATTGAACCGGCTCTCTGATTCTGGAGACTACAGGCCCCGGCCTCAGTGCCAGTCCCTCCTAGCAGGCACTGGTAGGGTGCTGGGACTCCAGCCCTCTTATCTCCTCCAGGCCATTCCTGAGGAGGGGACAGACTTCAGGGTCTCCTGGAGGTTGTTATTACTCTGCCGCACACCCTACTCCTCCACCATTCTCGGGCTCAGCAGTGCCTCCAGCTCCCTAGATGGCCCATCCCAACCTCCCAGCCTTGTGTGTGCACAGCCCAGAAGGTGGGGCTCCATAATTCAGAGGCCTTACTTACTGGAAGCCTCCTGCAGGCCAGGCCCTGGGCAGGGTGACCCAGGGGACTCCAGCTGCTCCCAGGACAGCAAACAGCTAAGCCCCCAGGTGAGGAGCCTGGGCAAAGGCTAAAGAGAAGGAGAAGGCCCCAGAAGGCATCTTTAGGAGGCAGGATAGACAGATGCTGGGCTGGGTGAATAGAGAGCGCAGAGGTAGAGAGCACTGAGCATTCGTTCCAGTGCTGCCTCATCCTAGCCTGGACCACTGCAGTTGCCTCCTCCCTGCCCTGCCCCTCCCTCCTCCGAGCCCCTCCAATCCCTGCTGCTTGCCGCAGCCAGAGCAGTCCTTCCAAACCATAAATCAGATCACATCACTCCCCACTCCCCTGCTCCTCCACCTTTCCATTCTAAGCAGGAGAAAAGCCAAGCCCCAGCCTCAGTCCTCAGCATAGCCAGCCTGGGGCTGGGGGCTGGGAAAGATAAAGGCTTTGCAACTCTGCAAACCTTGCCCCCCGCCCCCCACCCAAGCTCCTTGCCCCCACCCCACCCCACCCCAGGCTCCAGCCTGCTGGTCTCCTCTGGGCTCTTCCCCATCTCAGCACCTTTGCTGTCCTTGTCCTCTTTCTAGCAGGCTCTTTCCTGAGCTTCTTATTACCAGTGTCAGCTCCAAGAAACCTTCCCTGACTACCTTCTCTAGAGTCTTTCATTCCACAAGTCAATTTCTGAAAATGCCTTTTTATCTTTTTGGTATAATGCAGACTGGCATAGCCTTTGTTTATGTCCCCACCACCACCACCACCACCCATGCAGTCAGAGACTCTCTTGTACCTTGCTGTGTCCCAGGAGCCTACCTGACACACAGTAGGTCTTCAATCAGTCTACCCACTGAGTAATGAGGCGGCCCCTCCAGGTGGCTAATGACTTGTCCAAGGCCTAGAGGCTTGAGTCTGGCTTGCAGGGTAGGCCCTGAGTTCCCTGGGTGGTGGCCACAGGGTGGGGAGAGGCTCAGAGGCAGGGGAAGCGGAGGCCATGCTATGCCCACTCTGTGCCAGGCCTGTGAGTCACACAGGGCTTTTCCAGTCTCCACCTGACTGGTGCCAAGGAGCACAGAGCTCATTAACCTGGGATGAAGGGGTTTGGTCTTCAAAGGAGGAAATCTCTGTTTGGGACCAGCACTGTATTCTGGAGGTCCCCGTTGTGGGGGCAGCTGGCCAAGGCTTCAGTTTACATGCAGAAGCAGGGCATCTGCCCTTGGCTGCAGGGAGTCCCAGGAGGGGCCTTGGAAATCTACACGTCCAGCCTTCTGTTTTCTAAGCCACCATGGTACACTGAGGGCAGTGTGACCTTGGGCAGCAGCTCCCTGCCTCATAGCCTGGGCATCTAAGGCCTGCACTAGAGACCTCCAGAGATGAGGCCTGTGGTGCAGGAAGGCCTCATGTGCTGCAGAGGGCTACACAGCATCTCCCTGCTGGCACCAACAGAGGCAGCTGTTCTCTCCCAGGCCCAGCTGCTCACCACCTGATGGGTGGGTGTGCACCACGTTAGGACCTCCCCAGGGCAGGCACCTGCTCCAGCTCAGGACAGGAGCTGGGAAGCCTGCAGTGGAGGCCAAGCCCGAGGCTGGCCCAACTGCCCACCACAGGGGCCAGTGTTCACTGGTGACCTGGAGGAGGGGACACTCCCTGCTGCCTGGTTTCTGAGCAGGTCCCACGCCTGTGTGACTTCAGAGGTCCCTGGGTATCACTATGTGTGATGAGTGAGGGTGGTCTGGACCACACAACAGTGGCCCACTGAAGGCTCTGGAGCCAACATGCCTCCCTGCTCCTTCATATCACCTCCGGATAGCTGGCTGACCTTGGGCAAGTTACGGAGTCTCTCTGTGACTGGTTCCCCCTCCGCAGCACAGGGAGAGTGCAAGCCTCTGAGCCTGGCACACAGCACATGCTCAGGAGGAAATGTCAGCAGTGCTGATCCTGGAGGGGAGCCAGGGCGCAGCCTTCCGGCTCCTCCTCCTGGGGCAGGTGTGCGCACACCTGGGGGAACAGTGTGGTGTGTGTGTCGGGAAGGCAGTGTGTCTCCATTTCCAGGGAGAGAGCGGTGCATGCACACCCAGGTGTGTGCTCCAGTGTGTGGCAGTGGCCTGCCCTGAGCTGTTTTCTGGTACAGGGGTGTGGCGTACCAGGCGTACTTGCGGTCATGTACCCCCAGGTGTGGAGGTGTCTGTGGGTACTCTGCCTGCTGGTGACTGAATGTGTGCCTTGGGGGGAGGGATGTCTGTCTCAGGTGTGTCCACCCGTGCCCTGCTCTGTGCTTAGTTCTGTGTGTGTGTGTGTGTGTGTGTGTGTGCGCGCGCGTGAGCGCGTGTATCCATCCCTTCACATTTGGGAGCACAGGACAGGAATCTATAGCCCATGTCACAGCCCAATTTGGGATGGAGCCTAGATACAATATTTCTTGGGACCCACTGTGTGTAGAGGGGATAGGGTGCACTCTAGGCAGAGGGGCCCTAGGGTGAATGGGGTACTCTTAAGGGGTAGGACCCCCTTCTCTGGGGGGGGCAAGCAGGGGCAGAGGACCTAACCATGGAGAGGGGTGGGGGGAGGGCAAGGGGAGGGGGTGGAGCCGGTTGCAGGCGGGGATAGGGGGGATGGGCGAGGTTTGGGGGCGCGGGGAGGGGCGATGTCTCCTCCGCCGGCTCCCGGAGGGAGGGGAGAGGGCGGAGGGAGGGGAGGGAGGTAGAGAAGGAGGGAGAGAGAGACAGGGTGAGGGAGAGACTGCGAGCGCGAGAGAGCGAGAAGGGTGGCCGAGGAGGCACAGAGCGGGCGCGGCGGCGGCGGCGGCGGCGGCGGCGGCGGCGGCGGCGGCGGC